AGAGGACCGTTTGAAAGGCATGAAAATAAAGGTTTTTTTTCATGCGCTTTCGTTTTGCAATAGTCGAAAATGTCTCTAACTCCTCCTTTGATTAACTAGCTATATGTACGCCAGACCACGTCTCGCGTAACAGGCTTCGCGATATATCACGAAACACTGTAACGCTGCGACGCGCCTGGCGCACATATAGCTAGGCCTGCGGCGCTGACACCCCAGACGAGTTAAATTTTACGATTTAATAGACCATTTTGTCGTTTTTGCCTTTTTTTCGCCAAGAAATGCTCCCTAGCACCCAAACGGTGCGAGATAGAGCAAAACGGACAAAATTTTCGCACAGAGGGTTCTACTTTCACGAGTTACCCCTTAGAAACCCATAAAAAAATATTTGAAAAAAAATAATGTTTTGCAACCTGTGGTTTTTGATTTTTTAAAAAGCCAAATTTTGAGCTAGAATGCTCATCTTCGAACTCGATCTGTCTTTTTATGATACAAAACGACCCTGAAAATCCCAGGTCGCTTTCTCAATTCTTTCTCGAGTTATCGTGCGGACAGACAGACAGACAAACAAACAAACAAACAGACAGACAGAATGAAACTTTTCCGGTCAGTGGAGTAATGGGCTTCGCTAATCGCTCAGCCAAAAAGTAAGGAAAGAGAAAAAGCGCCCAAAAACAGGCTAAAATGTATAAAATGATGCGTTTTCGTAGGTAAAAAAATATTTTCAAAGGGCCTAGAACTGGTTCTTGTTTTCGGTTCAATAATCTATCAACACTTGTAGGAGCTTAAAGCCGCCGGCAGGCCAAGCAGGCCCGGCCCCTGCCGAACGGAGTTGCCGGCGCAGCGAAGCGAAGCTGGCAACTTCGTTGGCGGAAGGACGGGCCTGCTTGTTCTTTCCTTTTAGACGATCCAGTCTATACCAGAGGGTTTTGCGCGGGGGGGTAGGGGGGGGGCAGTGCGTGAGTTGATCGTCCGTCATAACTTCTCCCCGCCGGCCAACAATCACTACTGTGCGCTAAGCCACGCCCCATATCATCGGACAAAATCACAGTGACACGCGGGCACTGTGATTTTGTGCGAAAGAGTATCTCTAACGTTGATTATTTTTTCAGAAAACCACTCCGCGCCCGCGGCCGATCAAGAAGGCCCCTGAGGACACCCCCTGGAGGTCCCCGCGTTTGGCGGCGCGACGCCGCCTTGAGATGAGCGCAGGTAAATTGACGACCGATTCACCTCCAATTTCGCTAAAACACGCATTTGTTTTCATTGCTTTTCATTTTCTTTTTTAAATTCTTAGAGCCTACTCCGTCACCATCCCCGAGGAGCGCCGCGCGCGAGGGGGCGGCCCACACCAGGCCCCGGGGCTCCCCCCGCACACCCGAGGCGTCCTCGCCCGCATTTAACACCAGGTCGAGGACGCCCCGAGCAGCGCGGGGCGCCGGTGAACGAGAGCCTGCACTGCAGGCAGCTGTAGAGCCCCCGCAGCAGATTCCGGTGGTGGTGGAAGTAATTTACTTAGCAACTGCTTTTTTTTTTCTTTTTCTTTTTTTGGTGTGTAAAATCGTACTTTGTTTCGCGTGTTCACAGGGGCCGTGCACCAGGGTCTGGGGGCCCATGAGGCCGGGGGCCCCACCAAGGCGTTTTGCACCATATCATTTGGACGGGGCGCCGCGGCGCCCCGGTAGCACGGGGTTACTGAAAACCCCTACGACATTGTAATTTGTGGGTTTCTTTTCTGAAAATAATTTTTTTTTTCAGTGTATTTCTAGTAGGTCATTATTTCATAATACCTTTTTTTTCCGGATCAATTTTATGGTGAAAAGAGGAACGCCATTTCAAAAAATCAAAATAAATTTATTGACAGAATTTTAATTCTAAAAGCATACAAGTTAAAGGCAACAAGAGAAGTACAGTATTAATATTTAAGCAATACACATTTTAAATCATTCTTTGAGTTTTTCAAAAATCTTTTCCTTCATGAATGAAAAATGATAAATGATCAGCTCTTCTCTGAGTGACGGAACGTCACACGATGACATCAAATTAAAATCTTGAGCATAAATGTTCACAATGTGTGACGATGTGTTTGACATGGCCTCTCGCATGTGTTGAATCTGAACGGCCTCATCCATTTTGACGAGCTCAGTGTATTGGGTGGATTTGGCAATTTCTTGTGATGCTTCATTCACAAATTGGTTTAAAAAGTGTGCAATGTAAGTTTTGCTTTGACTCAGAGTGTCGATGTGCATTTTAATGAGTGCTCGCGCCTCTCCAAATTTGCGCCACGATGTCAAAGCAAAAAAGAAATTTGAAAAAGGGTCCCCAATGTGTTGCAACATTATGCTCTTTCCCCCGTGTTTGGCTTTGTACAATGAGATTTTAATCCCACCCACATTAAATTTGGTTGGAAAATCAGAAAACATTTTGGAAATTTTGAAAAAGATATCATCCTTAATAATAATCAGAAGTTCGTCCAACGAGACACGGAGCTTGTGATCGTTTGAGCCGACGTGGTCAGCAAAATAGGCACAAATGCGATTGGTTATAATGTCCACCCCCAAAATTCCCTTTTGTATGTAAAGACTGAAAGCCAAACAGACGACATTCTAGCCCAGAGGGTTCTTCTTTCACGATTCACCCCTTTGAAGACCATCAAATATTTTCTTAAAACACTGTATTTAATTTTGGGCCGCTTTTGTGAGAAAAACTCCCTCTATCGTCTCAACGGTAAGAGATAGAGCCAAACGGACAAAAGTTTAGTCCGAAGGGAACCATCAAATATTTTCAAAAATTAAAATAATTTCTTTTGGGCCACTTTAGTGAGAGAAACTCCCCCTAGCGCCTAAACGGTGAGAGCCAAACGGACGAAATTAGAGCCCAATGCGCTCTTCTTTCACAAGTCACCCCTTAGGAGACCAAAAAATATTTTTTTTTATCACTTCTTGGACCAACCCCTATTTCTTTTTTACCCCCTCAGACCCACTCAGGGGTGGCTGCCAGGATTTGCACCAACCGTTTCGTTGTCCAGAAGTGAAAACAGTAATACCCTGAAAATTTCAGACCTCTTGCTCACGTCCGTCTTGAGGAACGGACAGACGGACAGACAAACAGACACAATGGCGACGGCATAAGCCCGCTTATATAGCTTTTAAGCAAAAGAGCGGTCTAAAAAGGACAGAAATTGCAATTTTAAGGTGGAATAGTCTTTAAATAC